GTATTTTTGTTGTATGTTGAATTTATGTTGCTTTTTAAATGAATAAACTAACAGAACTATTCATGTAGTGTTACATCATTACACAATGTCATTTCACTACAGCCTTTTCATTTAATGAAGTATGTGTGATGTGTGCGTCCAGGTCCTTCGAGATGTCTTCCACTTTAAGCCCGTACTGAGCAAACAACAGTTCCTCCAGCTRGGTTTCTCTCAGAGAAAAGTGTCCTTCCTCTGTGACGTCATTGACCTGGTCCTGCAGAGGCACTGCCAGCTCAAGAAGGTGCAGTAATAACCTGTTGACTGTAAGGATGAAAGAACAATCGTAATGACTGTTAGTGTTCTGGTACAGAAAATGTTACTGATAAGACAACACAAATCATCATGAAGTGTCAAAGTCAGTGTGACGTCATCTGTCATGTGATGTTAAAACGTTACAAAGTGTGTTGTGTTGTAATTGTCAGAAAAACATTAATCGATTATTTTTGACACTTGAGGATTAATACGATTAATGCCACCAGTCAGTCCGCTCGGTGCTCCTCTCTGCTTCAAATGTGACGAACATTAAAAAAAAGTTCTGTAATTTATTYATCTATCAACACAAGTTAAAGCCTGAACCCTGTAATTTTGACACAATTTGGAACAGATTTTTACAAAGAGCAAATCTTTCCCATTAAATTGGTCATGTGACCAGGACATAAGGTTGTCCAGGGACTCCAGGGGATTAATCATTAAATTAATCGTTATCAGCTAAATACCACAATTAATCATGATTAATTTTTTTTGCCAATATTACCCAACCCTAATTTGTAATCATTTACACAGAAACCTCACACCATTCTCAGTGTTACCCCAAACCAGAATGTTGGACACCTCACACTGCATGTTGACGTGAGCACATACCCAGGTGTCCGTCTTCTAGAGCTGTGTGTCCTCATGCTCCTGCACTCGTTAGCCGTCCCCTCACAGTGAACACAGCCCACCCTGCTCTGTGTCGACCCTTCACAGTGAGCACAGCCCACCCTGCTCTGTGTCGTCCCCTCACAGTGAACACAGCCCACCTGCTGTCTGTGTCGTCCCCTCACAGTGAACACAGCCCACCTGCTCTGTGTCATCCCCTCACAGTGAGCACAGCCCACCTGCTCTGTATCATCCCCTCACAGTGAGCACAGCCCATCCTGCTCTGTGTCGTCCCCTCACAGTGAACACAGCCCACCTGCTGTCTGTGTCGTCCCCTCACAGTGAGCACAGCCCACCTGCTGTCTGTGTCGTCCCCTCACAGTGAACACACCCCACCTGCTCTGTGTCATCCCCTCACAGTGAACACAGCCCACCTGCTCTGTGTCATCCCCTCACAGTGAGCACAGCCCACCTGCTCTGTCTCATCCCCTCACAGTGAGCACAGCCCACCCTGCTCTGTGTTGTCCCCTCACAGCGAGCACAGACCACCATGCTCTGTGTCGTCCCCTCACACCGAGCACAGACCACCTGATCTGTGTCAACCCCTCACAGTGAGCACAGACCATCTGCTCTGTGTCGTCCCCTCACATTGAGCACAGACCACCTGCTCTGTGTCGTCCCCTCACATTGAGCAGACCACCTGCTCTGTGTCGTCCCCTCACATTGAGCACAGACCACCTGCTCTGTGTCGTCCCCTCACAGTGAACACAGCACACCTTGCTCTGTGTCGTCCCCTCACAGTGAGCACAGACCACCTGCTCTGTGTCGTCCCCTCACAGTGAGCACAGACCACCTGCTCTGTGTC